GTAATCCCCCTACCCAAGGTTCGGTTTCAGGGAAAAAGCACATCTACGCAAGCACAAACAACTATAAGACACCACAGAGCATCTATATTTCACATCCTGAGCTTTGAAAGCTGATTTTTTTTAATAAAATGTGCTTCCTTTCAAAGTGAGCTCCTTTAAATCACAGAGATCACGTTTCCGTAGGAAGAGGAGCAACTTCAAATGCCAACGCATTGCAGAGGAAAGTGAGGAATATTTTATGTGCTCCATACATCGCTACACTATTGGACCTTTTTGTCTGCAAAATGTCACTAATATGAACGCACCTTGAGAGTCACACGGTTGTCAAAGCCAAAGACTGAACATATCCACTGAGAGTGCTTCCCTACTTTAAAACCAAGTTTTTAGGCCTCTCTCCATAGCAATGCTTGTCCTCTCCATCAAGCAGATCCTGGAGGAACCAATTCTTCATGTTTAATGCACCTAAACAGGGGCAACTCTATTTATATCTATAATTCAGTGCAACCTCCCCTTTAGTAGTTCTATTTTTTGGATCGTGGGACATGACCGTGGTGTCCGAGTCTCCTGTGTGCCCTGAAACACTGGGGGCCACAAACCTCACATAGTCCTCATTTGTTGGGTTATTTAAATATGTGTAAATGTAATCCCCCTACCCAAGGTTCGGTTTCAGGGAAAAAGCACATCTACGCAAGCACAAACAACTATAAGACACCACAGAGCATCTATATTTCACATCCTGAGCTTTGAAAGCTGATTTTTTTTTTTATAAACATGCACTTTCTTTCAAAGTGAGCTCTTTTAAATCACAGAGATCACATTTCTGTAGGAAGAGGAGCAACTTCAAAATGCCAACGCACTGCAGAGGAAAGTGAGGAATATTTTAAAACCCATGGGGTTCCCTGTGCACAGATTTAAGCCATGTTCCCATCCAGCTGACTGAACTGATGGGTAGAATCTGACAGAGCGAGAGAGAAACGGAAAGAATGAAAGAATTCAAGGACATAGAGGTTTTGAGGACAGAATAAAAGACAGAATGAAAGCTACAGGTGGCGGAAGATAAAGCGGCCTTTGTGCATTTTCAAATGAAAGACCACAGAGACTTGCATTAGGCTCGATACCGTTTCAAAATGTTACATAGTAAACCGAGGTGACAAAATATTACTGATAACAACAGCAATGAATATAAGATGCTAAAACAAAACTCATTATGTCTCCTGAATATCTGGGCTAAAATAAAATAACTAAAGAGCCTTTATCCACAGGCAAATCCTATTTTAAGGTGGCAAATGACACTTTTGATTAGCGTCAACTTGTGGCATGTACTGCCCCCTGCTGACTGAAACAAACGCTACATAATACAAAACAAAAGTGAAACTGAGAATAGCAGGAGTCTATAGCATTTTTAGACCAAGGACCCCTTCGTGGAGATGGAGCAGGGACATATTTTGTAAAACTCGGTGTTGTACAAACAGCACCATATTAAAGGGATAGCACACTTCAAAATTAAAATTCTGTCTTCACCTGCCCTCCTCGTGTTCCAAAAGAGTTTGAGTTTCTTGCTTCTTTTGAACACAACATAAGATATTTTGAAGAATGTTGGTAACCAAACAGTTGATGGTAGCCATTGACTTCCATAGTATTCTTCAGACAGAGTATCATCTTTCGTGTTCAACAGAAGAAACCCATTCAGGTTTAGAATAACTAATCAAAAAATAATTGGCAGGCCGCCTTTTGAAGACCGTGGAATATAACGCAGGGGCCTTCAAAGTCACGTTACCAAAGACAACACAGGATCAGATGGGACTACAATCTGTTGACTGTTGACAGGGACAATATCCTGTTTTGTTCTTGAAAATACTCTGATACAGAAAAAAAGGAAGACTATGAAAATCTTTAACAATGGCCATATAATTCTGTCTCTATGGTAACCACGAACTACATTTAATAGCTCTCAGTAAATGAAACTGTAAAGATGTAACATTTTATAGCATGAACTGCGCTGACACCTAGTGGCCAACTCGGATATTTTAGATGTCTGCACATCATGTCAGCATGCTAAAAAGGATACAAAAAAATACCTTTTCCTTTAGAATTCACTTTTTATTTCTAACGACATTACATAAATCAAAAGCATTTCAGTTGAACAGTTCATATTTTAACATCTACCACACTCTAAAGGTCTGTAAAAATGTGTTAATATGAAAGAATTTTCCGCATTTCTTTTTTTCACAGGCGTTTTTACCTGCATTTTAAATTATGCATTGTGTTTTAAGGTACACTGTGATGTTAACAGATAATGTCCAGGCAGAAATGACCATTTTTCGTTTTTTCAAATTTTTTTTTTCTTACAGTGCAGTACAAAACAAAACCTTTTGTTTCATATGTAAATACCATCGCTACTGTAATTACCAATACGCCTGCTCTCAGTATCAAAGTTATCATGATCCAACAAAAAATTTAAAACATCTACACTACACTATTAAAAATAAAGGTGCTTCAAAAGGTTCTTCAAGCGATGCCATAGAAGAACCATTTTTGGTTCCACAAAGAACCATCTCTTTCTTACCTTTTTGTAATCTGAAGAACCTTTTTTCACCACAAAGAACCTTTTGTGAAACAGAAAGGTTCTTCAGATGTTAAAGGTTCTTTATGGAACCATTTAGACAAAAAGGTTCTTCTATGGCATCGTGAAGCACCTTTATTTTTAAGAGTGTACCGTTCAAAAGTTTGGGGTCAAATGGAGATGTTTATCAAGAAAGGATGTATTAAATTGCAGGATGCATTAATCGATACTCTCGGTCTATAAAATAAATTCCCAGAAGTGAAATAGCCCTTCGTGCAAATATCACTGTATAACCTTAAATGCTACAGGTGCACTTTTCAGGGCTGGTTGTATTTGTAATGCAATAAACACAAAACCATAGCCTACATTATTTAAAAATAAAACACATACCATCTGGGGTGTCATACGAAATTATGCAAGTGAAAACTAGGTAAACCACTGTAGAATGTGTGTAGAAGGAAGGAAATGCCTCACGTTTGGAATGGATCTGCTCACTGAGGGGAGAGACGTGCTGACAGGGTGATCGACAGCTTACACAGGCTGCAGCTAGTAATGGAGAACTGACACTGATTCACTCTCGCCCATTCTGATGGACTCTCACCCAGTCAATGTTTAAAAAGTTGCTGGCTTTTGGTAACAACCTAAAGAGCACGGCCCTGGCTCACGTTGCACACTAGAATACTGGTGTGGTGCTTTCTTTATATCGTCACTGTCTTTAAGGTACATGTTCTCATTCGTTAAACTTGAGGAAATCAATGCCAGTTTCCTGGCTTGATCTATTTTGAAGCCATAGACCAGTTCAAGTTCTTCCAAAAAATGAAAATACTGCCAGCATTTACTCAGCTCTATGATTTGCTTTTTTATGTAGATCAGAAAATACGATTTTTTGGGGGGGGGATCATACAGTAACTTAATGGGGTCCAATGTTGTTTTGAACCCCACTGACTTTTATATCCTTTTGTGTTCCACATAAGAAAGATCAGCTTTTGACATGGCATGAAGGTTAATAAATGATAGAATTTCTATTTTTGGCTGAACTGTCCCTTTAAATGTCTGTTTTCATGCATCTGGCTCATTGTAAAATGTCAGGTAGAGTTCATTCATTCATTAGTGTGCATTGTTGCACATTAACTCATGAATACGCTTTATCAGTCACAGGATAAGATTATCCCTGCTGTTTAACCTTGCACAGCATCCCGCCGTGCAGCTAGTGAATTGTCGATGGAGTTCGCTGTCAATCACAATCAGTGTGAACGTAAACAGGAGAAACTGTCAAACAGAGATGGCAGAACAGTACTACAACTGACAATTTGTCCGAGGCTCTGCTGCAACTAAAAGACATTGTACTTGACTACACGAGAAAGAAAGTCTTTGATATCACTCGGCATGAACCCTGACATCAACATCCTGCCAGCTGATAAGGCCAGATGCAGCACAGTACAGCAACACCTCAGATTACCACAACACAACAAATTCGCAAACCGGAGTTCTTGTTCTTACAGTTCTCAAAATATAAAGATTCAAAGCTTGACAGTATTAACTCAAAATACTGACAAAAGATCAGACATCATTAAATAGCAGTGTAAATGTACTAATACAACATGGGACGAATTGTAATTTCAGGGAACATCACATTAGCTACAACTGATAAAGCCAGTCGAATGAGAGACAAAACATCTGCAAATGATGAGAACTGAAGCCCAGATGATGAACAAATGAGCTCAACAGTAAAAATGATTTTCACATAATATCAGCCCTGTCACAATGTTGATCTGCGATTGCATTTAACATAATTGCAAAAGGTACCCTGTCAACAAATCAATTATGAAGTAATCGTCGACTGTAATAAAGCTATTTGCAAAATACATTTTCCATTGTAAATACTAATCATGTCAACAATAAACAAGCATCTGTCACAAAATGTTGAAAAACACAGAATATGACAAAGCAAACTAAGATAAGGGACTGATCTGCTAGATAAGGCCTTGCTCCACGTATGCAGGATTACTGGTTTCACAATTGGTCTGACTGTAATGCATACCATTGAAGAGAGGGCAGCAATAAAATAAAATCCACACTGAGCACAACTGAGACACCGATATAACAAACTGCTACTAAATACGACCGTAATGAAATGCTGTATTTAACAATAAAGGCAATTTTTTTGTCTTTTTTTTTTTTTTTTTTTTTGTAACCTTTTGTATTTAGGCTACATGAATGAGTCGTGTCCTAATAGGCATTATTTTTATATAACATGTTGTC